TTTGTTTCTGTCACCTTTGTGTTTTTGACTGTTTGGCACCATCTTGTGTCTGAATAATGTGCAGGTTAGTGTATACTCCATCAGCTGTTTTTGCTTCTGTCACCTTGGTGTTTTTAACTATTTGGCACCATCTTGTGTCTGAATAATGTGCAGGTTAGTGTATACTCCATCAGCTGTTTTTGTTTCTGTCACCTTTGTGTTTGTAACTATTTGGCACCATCTTGTGTCTGAATAATGTGCAGGTTAGTGTATACTCCATCAGCTGTTTTTGTTTCTGTCACCTTTGTGTTTGTAACTATTTGGCACCATCTTGTGTCTGAATAATGTGCAGGTTAGTGTATACTCCATCAGCTGTTTTTGCTTCTGTCACCTTTGTGTTTGTAACTATTTGGCACCATCTTGTGTCTGAATAATGTGCAGGTTAGTGTATACTCCATCAGCTGTTTTTGCTTCTGTCACCTTTGTGTTTGTAACTATTTGGCACCATCTTGTGTCTGAATAATTTGCAGGTTAGTGTATACTCCATCAGCTCTTAAGTTTCTGTCAGCTTTGTGTTTTTGACTGTTTGGCACCATCTTGAGACTGAATAATGAGCAGGTTAGTATATACTCAACTACTATGGTTCAGAACAATGTTTTGTGTCTAATTTTAATGTTTTGTGGCAAGTAGCTGTGTAATAACCTAGATAAAGTACATTCAGGACGGTTGTTTTCACAGAATAAAGCTCTTCAGTCTGATAAAACAGTGCTCTGACATACGTCAGGCTGCCAATAAGCTTGTCAGGCTTTATTCTGAGATAACAACCTCCTGATGTACTTCATCCCTAACTTAATGTGTTGACAATGTGTAAGGTCATGTTAACACCCTAAACAGCTAATATATGGAGAAAAGGTCATTTATAGCTTAAGCAAAATCCAGTCATTCACTGCAGCCATGCATTTATTTAAGTTGTGGTAATAGTTCCATGAATTTTTTAAATGCGTCTTTCTCACGCTCACTCTCTCTCTGGCACTCGGCACTGGCATTAGAGTCTGAGCGCCAGCTGGTGTGTGTGGGACTGATTCCCGGCGCGGAGCTTTTGTGTTAAAGGAACATCATGTGTGACATCAGCGCAGTTAAAGCACAGCCCTGATGAAAGCTGTTCTGACTGCACCTGAGCCCGAGGGTGGAGGAGTCTCCGTCTGATCAGCCCCAGCGCACGGATACGCAACAGGCCATGCCACTTTCTGCCATCACAAATTACAACGTGTTTTATTTCTGGCTACAAAAACCAGCGGTCATCATCAGACAGACCCAAAAAATGTGTAGTGGTTTTGTAGTGGTGCACCAAGAATTGATACAATTTCTGCCATGAAACTCTATGCGTGCACAGGCTGATAAGTCAGCTAATCTGCTCCTACATGCATAGCAGGTCTATACGGCCAAGACCAAACATGTCAACATTGCCATATACATATTCATTACCATACTAAATCCTGAGAATGGTCATAAAAGAATTATTTTTATAAGGGCTGCACAGTATTTCAATATAAAGTCGATATAGTAATGTGGGAATCTGCAATAGTCACAACACAGGACCTGCAATGCCAATTTGGGATTATAATTAACCACAGTATAGAGAACATGATTTTATTTCAAAGTTTAATCTTGTGTGTTTTCAAGGCCTGTGACTTGTGATTTCATTAGATTACAACTATTTGTTGGTGTCAATAGCCTAGTGGTTAAGTGCGCCGATATATGGCATCATAATGCTCAGGGCGACCCAAGTTCTATTCCCGGCTCGGGGTCTTTTGCCGACCCTTCCTCTCTCTCTAATCCCAATACAACAACAACAAAAAACAAATGCCTAATTGTTAAAAAAAAAAAAGAATAAAATAATTTTTTGAAACTTTTTAGACACAAGACCGTTGTTTATTAAAAAATTGTTTATTGATCCATTGAATACTCAGTGTTATTTTACATTTTATTTTTGAATTTCTGTACCTCAAAACTGTTAAACACACTGAAAACCATAAAGTGCTGTTTATTTAAAATGTAACATTGTTCTATTGATTTATTCATGCTTTAATTTGTTGACTTTATATATTTTTGTGTAATTTGGAATATATTATGACAATATGATATATTTCCACTCACCTACAAAATCCCAGTCAAAGTCAAACTCTCAAAGTAAAGTGATGAATTGTTTCCAAACAGAGTTACTAAAGTTGTCTTGTGAAATTATTTTCAACATGAATCGCACAAAGACTAAATATTACAATGTTTGTTTTTTCCAATATCGTGCAGCCCCAATTTTTTACTGTAAAAAAGGTCACATTTTATAATATTGTACAATTCACACTATTACCAAACCATTAACTGAGATTTTAACACTTTCAGAAGCAGCAAAAATTGCAAACAGGTGCATCTATAATATATTTAGAAAAATCCATGTTATTATGTATATGATCTAATCATCTATATGATAACATATTTGATAATAATAACTGACTTTCCAAAAATAAAATAACAAATAAACAATATCAATATTGACAGTAGCCAAAATTGGTAACAGAAAATATCATATATAATATAATATAGTATAATATAATATAATATAATATAATATAATATAATATAATATAATATAATATAATATAATATAATATAATATAATATAATATAATATATATAACTTTTAGCACTTTTAGAATTGCCAAAAATCGGCAGGTCACACTTACCAAAATAAATCTGAAATTTAAATCTGGCAATTGGTAAAACTCTAATATATTTCATATTATTCTGCATATTCAGTATAAATGATTTAATAATCTATATAACAAAAAATAAATGATAATAAGCAAAAAAAAAAAAAAAAAAAAAAAGCACAAATAGATAAATATATCAATATTGACATGAGCCAAAATTGGTTATACAAAATATCAGATATTTGCAAAACACAAAATCATGCATCTCTAAATATAATATAATAATATACTATATATAACTTTTAGCACTTTTAGAATTGGCAAAAATCGATATTGACTGGTCTTATTTATCAAAACAAAAAAAAAGAAATTAAAATCTGACATGAAAATTGAAATCAATGCATCTATAATATATTCATAAAAGTTCATATTATTCTGTATACTCACTATATATGATCTAATCATGTATATGACTAAAATAGATGATAATATTAAGCAAAAAATAGATACAAGTAATATTGTCATCAGCCAAAATGGGTTATAGAAAATATCTGATAAAATCATTTATCTCTATATAATATAAAAATATATACAGCTTAAGTCAGAATTATTTACCCTCCTGTGATTTTTTTTTGCTTTTTCAAATATTTTCCAAATGATGTTTAACAGATTCAGGAATTTTTCACAGTATTTGCTATAATATTTTTTTATTTCGGCTAGAATAAAAGCAGTTAATATTTTTTTAAAACCATTTTAAGGCTGATATTATTAACCCCTTAACCAGTATATTTTTGGATTGTCTTCAGCAGTGGTTCCCAAAGTGGGGGTCGCCGGACAATGAAGGGGGGGTCGCTTGGTGATTTCCAAAAATCTAATAAATTTTATTAAACCATTAGAGTTACCATATTTTATCCATACTTTATCCATAACCTTCTGAAAATAAAAACAGTTTACAGTTACAGCCTTTTGTTATTATTGGATTGCGATTCTTGGGGTGATTACATTCTATTAGACACAGCAATAGCATTAGATGCAGCAGAATGATTTTATGACAGCAAGATGAACTTTCTGGCACATTTACAGCACTTCACATACATGAAAAAAAACAAAAAACAAAGAATAGACTTGGGCCTTTAGGTGTGTGTGTGTGTGTGTGCCGTTGCATGCAAGATTTCTATATTTATGACCACCTCAGAGTATATTGGGGGTTACAAATAACTTGGCATTGAATACTAGTATATTTTAAAAATCTAGTCAAATATTATGTACTGTCATCATGGCAAAGATAAAAGAAATCAGTTATTAGGATTTAATTATTAAAACTATTGTGTTTAGAAATGTGTTTGCATACCAAAATGATAATTTCTGTTCACTGAATTATAAAAAAGAGCTCTAAAATTTGAGCCAAGATCTCAAAATAATGGAAAATCCTGGTGTAAAATTTCCATAACATGATCACCACGCAGATAATCAGAAAGACAATTCAAGATAATTCATCCTGAAGGAGCTGAAACCCCGGCGGGATCACGGCATAATGTTATGCATAGTAAGATCGCTGCCGAGCCATCATTTACATGAGACAAGAAACTTGCCATTAAAGTAAAGCGAAGTATAAAATCTGTCATTAGACTGTAATTATCCAGTCCTGCAGTTAGTGCAGCTGTCATCCAAGCGCAGATCCATTCTCATGCTGCATATAATATTCAGCCACAGCCAACATCGTACCACATCATCACCGCAATCACCAGCACATTTATCAGAGGAGGCTCAACACAATATACAGGAGAAGTCAGAATTATTAGTCCCCCTGTATATTATAGTCCCCAATTTCTGTTTAACGCAGAGCATATTTTTTCAACACATTTCTAAAAATAATAGTTTTAATATCTAATTTCTAATAACTGATTTATTTTATCTTTGTATAATGAAGATTTGTTCTGTAGACAATTGAAAACAAATATCGCTTAGGGGGCTAATAATTTTGACCTTAAAATGTAAAAAAATAAAAATAAAAACTTAAATTAAAGCTTTAATTCTAGCTGAAATAAAACAAATAAGACTTTCTCCAGAAGAAAAAAATATTATATGAAATACTGTGAAAAATTCCTTGCTCTGTTAAACGCCATTTTGGGAAATATTTAAAAATAAAAAATAAAAAATTATTATGATTTCAACTGTATATTATTCAGCCACAGCCAACATGATTACCGCAATCAACAGCACATTTATCAGTGGGAGCTCAGCACAATGTATAGACACATGTGTGGATGATTTCAGCACTTCTGGAGTGTGTGAGATGTGAAAGAGACTCACTGTCGGGCAGCCGCTGTCATGCTGGTCCTCCAGAAATCCAATTCTGCAGAGCGTCTTATCATTCTTCAGCCAGTACTCAGACGAATCCAGAACACTGTTACTGCACAAAACCTGAGAAGTCAAACACACGCTTTAGTCAGACTGAGGCAGGATATCTGGAGAACAGCAAACGTTGAGGTCAAGAAATCATGTGGCAAAAAAATAAAATGAAATGGATAAAATAAATTAAAATAAAATAAAATAAAAAATAATGAAAAATAAAATAAAACATGGAGGTTCATTCTGTTGTGGGAACTCCAGATTAATAAAGGAACTAAGCCGAAAAAAGAATAAACGAATGAATAAAAAAATAAAAATAAAATACAATAAAATAACAAAAAAAAATAAAAAAATAACAAAATAAAATAAAACTAAACTAAATAATAAAATAAAAGGAAAAAAAACTATAGAATAAAATAAAACAAAAAAATAAATAAAAAATAATATGAAATATAATAAAATGTAATATAATAAAATATAATAATAAAAAATAATAAAATGCAATAAAAATATAATAAAATAATAATAAAAAAACAATAAAAATAAAATGAAATAATAAAATAAAATAAAATAAAACAAAATAAAATAAAACAAAAAATAATGAAAAAAAATTAAAATAAAATAACAATATAAAATAATAAAATAAAATAAAACATAAAAAAATATAATCAAGTAAAATATAATAAAATAAAATAAAATAAAAATTATTAAATAATAAAATAAAATAATGAAATGAAATAAAACAAAAAGTTAAATTAAATTAAATAATAAAATAAAACAATAAAAATTATAAAAAAATAAAATAAAATGATGAAATAAAATATAATTAAAAATAATAAATAAATAAATAAATAATAAAATAAAACAAAATAAAATAAAACAAAAAAATAAAATAATCACATAAAATAATAAAATAAAATATAAAAAACTAAAAAACAATACTAAATAAAACTAAATAAAATTTAAAACAACATAATAAAATCTAATAAAACAAAACAAAATAAATATAATAAAACAAAATAATAAAATTTAATTAATAAATTTGAATAACAAATAAGTTAATTTTGCTATAATTTAAAAATTAATCTAAAAACAAAACAAAACAGTCAACACTTGTCAATGTTGTGTCAGATGACTCACAACCCAACTTCACAAGCAAGTAACCCAGTCAGTAATGGACTATTATAGATTATTAATGAAGAGTTGAGAGCACGTATGGCCCTTCAGTGAACCGAGCTGAACATGCAATATTGCATAACTTGATTGTATACGTGCAGGTCATGCGTTTTACTTACGCTTATTGCATTCAAGCACAAACAGCAGTAGGAACAGATGCTAAAAATAAAAACCTCTAATTAAATTAACACAACCACCGGTAGGTTAGACAACCCTAAAACAAACATAAACCCTCTCTGTTAGCGTGTAACCTTCAGTTTGATTCATTATCAGTGTGCCTCTGTAAGCATTGATTACTCAGTGTGTATTCAAGCAATAAACACATATCATTGTGTGTGTGTGTATGTGTGTTTACTCTGTTTAATGAGAGTTTGTGGGTGTTTGTATGTGTGAGCACATGTGTGTATTTTCTCTGCCCTTGCTGTGTGTGCCATCTGTACCAACTGTTTTCTTGGCAGAGTGCACCATATGACAGGGTCGCTGGGACAGTTACGTCACGGTTCAACATGGTTAAACTACACACTGAGCTAATATACCGGTGGAAACGGTAACCTTCGGCAGATGGAAAATCATTAGCTCATAAGGAACAAGCATAAGAGATGAGTTTGCATTTATTCAGGCTGTCATTTATATAGTGAGTGGATACCAAAGACCAATACAGCAACTTTTCATTTGCCATCAGTTTTAGTACATGAGAGTAATCACAGAAGAGTCAAGCTTTAAATAGGAAAATGATTAAAACTCTGGTTATTTTTTTGAGTGAGATGCTAATGGTCTAATCTGATTCAATTATCTATGCTAAGCTAAGCGAAAGATCAATGTATTAGATTCACAAATGGTCAAACTCGAATGTTTAACTCTAGGGGAGTAGTAAAATTAACAGTAGAGTAGAATTAAACAGTACATTTTCACCATTTTTGAATTCATTCAGCCAATCTCCGGGTCTGGTGGAAGCACTATTAGCTTAGCTTAGCATAGATCATCGAATTGGATTAGACCATTAGCATCTCTCTCAAAAAATGACCACAGTTTTGGTAACTGTCCTATAATAAAGTAGACTGTCTATAGTTACTCTCATGTACTAAGACTGATGACAAATAAAAAGTTGCTGTATCCTAGGCGAATATAGATAGAAACTACAGTATAATAGGCACAATTATGTTAATCAGAGCAACTTGCACACACTCCCTGTGCAATGTGGTTATGTTGGAAGTCACCAAGCTGCACTGAAAAAAAAAAAAAATTGTTGAATTGACAATTTTTTAAGTTTTAAGTGGCTGCAAACAATTTATATGGGATGAATTATGGGATGAAACTAAAATAGTCGTGCTGAACTGAGTCTGGTTTCTCTCAAGGTTTTTTTTCTTCACTCTCCTATCGGTGAAGTTTTTTTTCCCTCTCCGGTGTCACCACTGGCTTGCATGGTTCAGGATCGGTAGAGCTACGCATCGATGAATTAGCTCTTCAGTGTTTGGACTCTCAGTAATGATTTTAAACCACACTGAACTGAACTGAACTTAAACACAAAAAACTGAACTACCTTGATCCAGTTACTATGACCATTAATGTGAAGCTGCTTTGACACAATCTACATTGTAAAAGCGCTATACAAATAAAGCTGAATTGAATTGAATTAATGTTCAACTTAATTTGTTTGTTTAATTTCAGCCCAAATAAATAATTTGCAACTACTTAACTTAAACAATTTAGTAAATGCAATGAATAATATTCTTGTCAGTGTGGAGTATTTTCACATGCTCCATAATATCAAATCATCATATAATATTATATCATTTGCACCTGCTGCAGCCATGGTATGGCAGCAAATTTCTTTGACTATTACAAGACTATAGTTCCTATACTCCAATACCATAGCCAATACCATACTCCTATACCATAGCCATAGCAACTTTTCATTATCTGCTGGTCTTATTACATGATGTAACCACAGAAAAGTCAAGCTTTAAATAGGAAAATTAACAAAACTCTTTGGTCATTTTTTTTTTGAGTGAGATGCTAATGGTCTAATCCAGTGGTTCTCAAACTTTTTTCATCAAGTACCACCTTAGAAAAAAATTGTCTCTCCAAGTACCACCAAAATGAGCAGCATTGAAATACAGTAGCGTAGTTGGCCCAGTAAAGCAGCTACAACTCTGCACAGTTAAAAAACCTGGCAGATTACCTCAGAAATATAGCCTATATATAATATATGACATATTATATACATCATTTTAATAAATTTTGAATTATATGTAGCATGTACATGACATTTTTCATTCCTCCGTGTACCACTAGAAGGAAGCCCACGTACCACTAGTGGTAAACGTACCACAGTTTGAGAACCACTGGTCTAATCTAATTCAATGATAAACAGAATAGAATCAGAAATTGATAAAAATCAACTGTTCAACTCAACTCAACACTCAACTCTGATTATAACACTCAACTCTAGACGAGGCAGTGGCGCAGTAGGTAGTGCTGTTGCCTCACAGCAAGAAGATCGCTGGTTCGAACCTCGACTCAGTTGGCGTTTCTGTGTGGAGTTTGCATGTTCTCCCTGCCTTTGCATGGGTTTCCTCTGGGTGCTCCGGTTTCCCCCACAGTCCAAAGACATGCGGTACAGGTGAATTGGGTAAGCTAAATTGTCCGTAGTGTGTGTGTGTGGATGTTTCCCAGAGATGGGTTGCGGCTGGAAGGGCATCCGCTGCGTAAAAACTTGCTGGATAAGTTGGCGGTTCATTCTGCTGTGGCGACCCCAGATTAATAAAGGGACTAAGCCGACATGAAAATGAATGAATATTTAACTCTATGGGAGTGCTATACTGAGCCTTTTTAAAAGTGGAGTGTTCCTTTAGGTACATTAAAGGGATAGTTCACCCCAAATTTTTTATTTACATTTACTCAACAAGTTCCTTTTTTTCTGCCAAACACAAAGTAATATACTTGGAAAAAGGCTGGAAACTAGTATTCTATGATTACCATAATGTTTGTGTTCCTACTATGGTTGTCAATGGCAACCAGTTTCAAACATTCTTCAAAATATCTACTGTTGAAATATATTCAACAGAAGAAACTGGAACCATTGGGGAATGAGTGACCTTCCATTTTTGCATCAACTATCCCTTTAATGCAGTGTTTCCCAACCCTGTTCCTAAAGACACCATCAGTACACATTTTCCATCTCTTCCTAATCAAACACACCTGAATCAACTCATCAGAACATCAGAAGAGACTCTAAAACTTGAAGTTAATGAGTTTGATAAGAGAGAAATTAAATGTGTACTGTTGGTGTGCCTCCAGAAACAGGATTGGGAAACACTGCTCTAAACCAGTGTTTTCCAACCCTGTTCCTAAAGACACACCGACAGTACACATTTTCAACCTCCTCCTACTCAAACACACCTGAGTCAACTCATCAGAACATTAGAAGAGACCAGTTAATAAGGGAGACATCTAAAATATGCTGGTGTGCCTGCAGGGACAGGGTTGGGAAACACTGCCTTGATGTTATTAAATTCAATCCATTGTATATGCTAACAACTACACAGCTCTGTTATCAATAAAGGGTAAACAAAAAGATCGACCTGTTAGCACATTCCTGTCACAAATACCGCTCGACGCTTCCTGATCATGTGAAATGCAAGCTCAGGCTTAATGAGGTCAATACTGACGATGTTTGAGATCAGCTCAGGATTACCTGCTATTTATTTTACTAAGTGGTTTGATTTCTAGATGCTGAAGTTAATCACATCAGCTTGACAAATGATATGACCTCTGACAGTAATCCTTCATTGCAGCTGCACAGACGCAGTTTTATTTAGATCAGAGCTGCATGGAAAGCCGAGCAGTGATAAAGCTAAATTAGTTACTACTGTAGCAATATGAGCATTCAGTGTAGTGAAAAGCACACATTCAACAACATTCAGATCAAGAATCAATGTCTTTGTATTAGCTATTTTATTAAAAACCAACTATGGTGTTATACTCATGGTGCAAATTAAACATTGACGACTGAACTTTTTCGGTAATGTTATTTTGTGCAATAAAGTTAATCAAATGTATTTATTTAAATGACATCTATTTTATTAATTAAACACATTTTCAGTGTTTTGTGGGGTATTTTGTGTATTCTGACCTATAGTATCCTATGATAAGCTTTTTTTTAAGGTTACATTGGTCAAACTATACAAACTATGCATCTAGCTATACTTTACTTTTAGGCTATGTAGAAACAAACACCTATTTTACAAGAGGTGTGGAACACTTACTACTGTATGTCTATTGGCGTAGATTGATTGACGCGGTTATGCATTTACAATGGTGTAATCCAGTATAGGGTGGTCAAATGTTTAATTATATTATCTATTATTTGAATTAGTAACACTAGTTTTTAAGATAGAGATCAGAGGAAACTATTTCTCACTATTTAGAGGACTGACACTCCTGAAAGATTAATGAATGAGTTTTGAATAAATTCATTGCTTTATAATTTGTGAAGTTAAGACATTATTTGGCATGAGATACAAATAATATATATATATATATATATATATATATATATATATATATATATATATATATATATATATATATATATATATATATATATATATAAATAAAATATTTTAATTACTATTTTACTTTTTATAAATAGTAATACTGTAATTACTGTATTAATGCTCAGGCCTGTCAGTCAAAAAGTGGAAATTAAAAACCAACACCATCAATAATAATATTAATAAAAAATACATAATAGTAATAATAATATAAAAATTTTAGTTTCACTGACATTTTTCAGTTTCTTTTATATTACATTTTTGTTTATAAATGATAATGCATATTAATGCATAACTGTAATAGTTCTCAGACCTGTCAATAAAAAGCAGAAATTCAAAACCACCAACAACAACAATTAAATAATATTAATACTACTACAATTAATAATAATAAAAATAAAATGAAAATAATGGTATTGCTGGCATTTTTTCAGTTTTTATTACATATTTTATTTATAATTAATAATGCATGTTAAAAATAAATAATAATAACAACAACAACAATAATAAAAAAAATATTATTATTATTTTACTGGCATTTTTCAGTTATTTTATATTACATATTTTATTTATAAATAATGCATGGTAAAAATAAATAAATAAATAAATTCAAATAAGAAATAAAAATAGAAGTTTCACTGGCATTTTTCAGTTATTTTAATATTGCACATATAATTTATAAATACTGATGCATGTTAAAGATAAATTAATAATAATAATAATAATAATAATAATAATAATAATAATAATAATAATAATAATAACATAAAAACTATATTTTGACTGGCATTTTTCAGTTATTTTTATATTACATATTTTATTTATAAATAATAATGCATGTAAAAAATAATAACAATAATAAAAAAATAATATTATTATAAAAATATATAGTTTCAATAAAACTTTTTATTTATTTTTTAATAATTGTTTTTATAAATAATAATGGATATTAATGCGCTACTGTAATACTGTCAATCAAAAAGAAGAAATCAAAACCAAACTATATATATATATATATACAGAGAAAGGAAATTTTTACAGTATGTCTGCTGGAGAAAGTCCTAACTGACAAAAATCAATATACATTTTAATAAACATTTTTAGGTCAAAATTATTAGCCATTTTAAGCTATATTTATTTTCGATTGTCTGAAAAACAAACCATGATATGCAATGATTTGCTTAATTATCCTAACTTGCTTAATTAACCTTATTATCTTAGTTAAGACTTTAAACGTCTCTTTAAGCTGAATAATATTGCCTTAAAAATATCTAGTACATATAATATTATGCGCTGTCATCATGACAAAGATAATATAAATCAGCTATTAGAAATGAGTTATTAAAACTATTACGTTAGCTTAAACAGAAAATGGGGGAAGAATGAACATGGCGGCTAATAATTCTGACTTCAACTGTATATTTAAAGCCTACTAACATAGATCAAGTTGGTGACCCCTGTGCTGTTCCCATCAATAATGACCATCCTCCTTAATCTCATCACATCTCTCATGAGAGACAGAAATGATTAATACAGTGTCACACTATAGTAACTCCCTGTTCCCCTGATTCTGCATCTGCGCCCACAGGGGCCATGCACTTACAACCATCCACTAATAAAGCGCTCAGCAGAACGAGACAAAGGTAAAAGAGCCAGAAGACAAGGGAGATATTGAACTAATCATGCTGCTTGTTCTGCTTCTCTCCGTCTCAGTGATTCTGGCAGAGCTTCAGCTGCTGTAACCTGCCTGCAAAGTCCAGCTGCCGACAGAGTAAAAAGTGCTGATGGCAAAAAGCCAGAGTTTCCGTTCCCTATACAGGTGGAGCCGTCGGCCAATCAGCAAGGCTTCATTTTAATCACACTGTGATTGGAGCATGAGATTCTTGCAGGAGCTCGAGCACAGGAGTGAACACGACGCCACGGACAGAAACCTAATGCTGGCTTGTTATGTGGGTCTGGATGGTAGTGCACTTGCAGAGAACGTGATGCAGGTTGTAATACAGGACTATGGTGCACACACACACACCTTCTTGCAGGCGGAGAGCGAGGACCCAAGGGTGCTCTCAGATTTGACTTCCTGTGTGTTCGCGGACTCAGATCCCTCAAACATGGCAGATGATTGGAAATTACTGTGAAAAACAGAAAGAGAGAGACATGTTAGCATGTGTCCATTATTCAGTTGAAGTCAGCATTATTCGCCCTCCTATTTTGTTTTTTCTTTTTTAAATATTTCCCAGAATATGTTTAACAGAGGAAGGAATTTTCCACAGTATTTCTTATAATATTTTTTCTTCTGAAAAAAGTCTTATTTGTTTTATTTCGGCTAGAATAAAAGCAGTTTTTAAATTTTTGAATCAAACATTAATATTATTAAATTAATATTATTAGACCGCTTAAACAATTTTTGCTTTCGATTGTCTACAGAACAAACAACTGTTATACATTGACTTGTCTAATTACCCTAACCTGCCTAATTAACCTAGTTAAGCCTTTAAAGGCCACTTTAAGCTGAATATTGTGTAATATTAAGCAAATATTATGTGCTGTCATCATGACAAAGATAAAACAAATCAGTTATTGCAAATGTGGTATTTAAACTATTGTGTTCAGAAATGTGTTGAAAAAAAATCTCTCTGTTAAACAGAAAATGGGGAAAATATATGGGGGAGGGGGGAAGGGTTAATAATTCAGAACGGCTAATAATTCTGTCAACTGTACTTCAGTGAAAAGTGACCATTTACTGCACAAAAATAATAACATATATTTGAAAAAACTAGAGAGTAAAGCGCTTTCATAACCACACATGATGACTAAAGATTTCAATGTACAGCTGTGATAGTCACAGGTTTAAATAAACATGAAATTAGAAACGATATGCAAGTTTAGAAACCCAATTGCATGATGTGATCTTTCAATGATTAATCATCATCATCGTCATCAGATTGCTCAAACAGCAATATCACACACCGAACAAACTTAAAAGTACAAAAAGCGTCGGTGCCAATAGCCTAGTGCAGTGGTCAGGAACCTTTCTTCAGCAAAGAGCCTGCATGTATGTATATATGCATGTATGTGTGTGTGTGTGTGTGTGTGTATATATATATATATATATATATATATATATATATATATATATATATATATATATATATATATATATATATATAGTTGAAGTCATAATTATTAGCCCCCCTTTGAATTTTTCTTTCTTTTTTAAATATTTCCCAAATGATATTTAACAGTGCAAAAAAAATTCATATCATGTCTGATAATATTTTTTTCTTTGGAGAAAGTCTTATTTCTTTATTTTGGCTAGAATAAAAGCAGTTGTTAATTTTTTAACAGCCATTTTAAGGTCAAAATTATTAGCCCTTTTAAGCAATTTTTTAAAAATAGTCTACAGAACAAACCATCGCTATACAATAACTTGCCTAATCCCCCTAACCTGCCTAGTTAACCTAATTAACCTAGTTAAGTCTTTAGTGTCACTTTAAGCTGTATAGAAGTGTCTTGAAAAATATCTAGTACAATATTATTTACTGTCATCATGGAAAAGATCAAATAAATCAGTTATTAGAGATGAGTAATTAAAACTATTTAGAAATGTGTTGAAAAGAAAATCGTCTCTCCATTAAGCGGAAATTAGGGGAAAAAAATATTAGGGGGCTAATAATTCAGGGGGGCTAATAATTCTGACTTCAACTGTATATATATATAACTTAATAGTTTTATGTTCAATCCACTTAAAATTGTAAAAAATTAACTAAGTTAACTTAATTAATATCCGTTAACATGACATGAAGGGGGCCTCACAGCAAGAAAGTCACTGGTTTGACTCCTGGCTGGGCCAGTTGTTGTTTCTGTGTGGAGTTTGCATGTTCTCCCTGTGCTTTGCTTTGATTTCCGTCGGGAGCTCCAGTTTACCCCACGGTCCAATGCTCTATAGGTGAATTGGCCGCAGTGTGTGTTTGTGATTGAGGGTGAATGAGTGTTTCCCAGTAAGTAAAAAATATTGGCGGTTCATTCCTCTGTGGCGACCCTTGAAAAAAGGGACTAAGCTTGAATGAATGGGAATGAATGAATGACAAGTTTGTAACCCTACATTTTTTACAGTGCAAATTTAGTTGTTAAAAAGGGTTATTAAATAATGCAAACACATTACTTTAATACACAAACTACCATTAATTAGCTGCTCACAAGAGGTTAGTCTTTAAAGCTTTAAATAATATAATAATTAAAAAATTTCCTTCTAATAATCTGACCGTTCAGCTTCATCCTGAAAAACAAACGCTGAAGAAGTGCCAAAACATGTTAGCAAACTTTGAACAAATTGAAGCCAAGTCTCCCTTCGTGCCATTTCTAGATAATGAGACGGAGAAAGTGAGAGTTGGAAATAAGACGAACTGTTTAATTAAACTTGTTCAGATTATTTGACTACTGGGGGTACAGAACATTAAGTGAGGATGAAACGGCCGCGTCAATCCTCTGAGGTGACAGAAGTACAACATTATCCAGATCATACAGCGAGCAGTCACGATGTTCAGCTCCAGAGCATTTCTATCACAGCTCCATATTCTCCCTGAACGGACTCAAATTAGCTCTTTTGTTTGTATCATAATTGAAGGAGAATTTGATTCATTTTTCCCTCCTGCAGGATGTATGCACTTTCCATTTTTAATAGCAGAATCGGCTGGTTGTCTGGTCAGGGTGACTGTGGAGTGAACACAGCAATTTTCACTTTTTTTTTTGGCAAACTGGTAGCTAATTTGTCTATGTGCACAATCCCAATTGAGAAAATTTCCCTTGATCTTACAAAAGAGGTCATTGCACTAAAAATGAAACTTTCTGAAAGTTTCAGAATTTCATCCTTATTTCTATTGCGCTTCATACATTGTAGGTTGCGTCAGAGCAGATTAACATACAGTGGAGAAAATAACAACCCAGGCTCATTGTGGAAACTTAGCCCGCGGACGTTTCTGGAGACCGAAAAATCCGGGAGGTACGTATTTGTGCAGTTTTTGTTTTCACGAATCCACGAGAGGCTGCTGTGCACGCTTTTTCACATCTCGAACGCTTCTCGGGAGCGTGTGAAAAGCCGCCGGAGGCCGCTGTCGATCGACCGTCTGTCTGACTGACTGAATGACTGAACGATCGACTGGGCGGCCGGCCAATCGACCGACCCAGCCACCCTCCTCCTCCTTCCCTAAACCCAAGCGACGATTTACAAAAGCCATCCAGAAAAGAAAAGCAATAGCCCTCGTCCGATTTTGACCGAGTTTTCGGATTTCACCGCATTCTCGCCCCATCATGAACTCATTCGCTTTTATTTTTTGGATATCGTTTTTTCATCTTACCTGATTTCTGGAACCGCTCTTCACCAGACTCGAACCTGATCGTCGCCGTGGGTGGCTCCTCCTCCTCCAGGCCTCTGCTCCGCCGACGTAACACTACAAGCTAAGCGGACAAACTGGTTGCGCTGGGAAAGCCCTCCACACAGAGGTGAGCCGTCACAGCCGGCGAGCGCGAAGAAGAGGAGCGGCATCACACCGCCCCATAGCGGTCGCTTGAAAAACCGAATGCGGCCATCTTTACCTCCGGCCACGTAAAACGCGGTCTCCAGAAATGTCCGCAGGGCTATGTTTTCAGAATGAGCTTGGGTTGGAAAATAAGCTTTAAACACGTCACCATTTTTCTCCGAAAACACATTTCTAAAGGTGCCGTTGACTTGAAATTTTCACCAGATGTTTGTAACAACCAAAAAAATCCATATATGTACTTAAACATTTGTAATTATGTTTATCTATCTGCACACTTCTGATTATTAATAGCATTCTGTAAATATATTAATTCATTGTAAATATCTGTTCATAGCTAATACGACCTGTATATAATGTTCATAGTACATCCATCTGTAAATATGACCATAGTTTTTCTATAACTGCACTTTCTAACTTATACCTGTTTCCTGCACTTGCTGCTATTGCACTGCTGATTAGACCGAAACTACATTTGGTTGCCTTGTACTTGTATGTGTAATGACAATAACGTTGAATATAATCTAATCTAATATGCAAAGAAAACAAATCTTATTAGTGTGCAAATTAAGTTAAGTGTAATAAAATGAAATGGCACAGGGAAAAAGTATTAAATAAATGAAGAAAGGGAGGTGTAGAAAGGCAGTGAAAGCCCAGACAGCAGCTAAAATCTCAGTAGTTCTTCATCAACCCTCTGCCCTTCATCAGTGTAAATGAATATGAGCTGCTTCAGTCCAACATCTACATTAGGAGGATGATGAAGATCCACCAGGGTGGACATTTCAGCAAGACAATGATAAAAAACACAGCCAAGGAAACACTCAAATGCTTTCAAAGAAAGAAATTCAAGCTGTAGAATGGCCCAGCCAATCACCTGAGCTGAATCCAATAGAGAATTCAAAATAAACCTCAGATTTGATAGACGAGACCCACAGAACCATCAAGATTTCTACACTCTGATGACGTCTGTGAAGACTCACACCTGAGCAATGCATGTGACTTCATTCTCCATGTAAGAGGCATCTTTAAGCTGCCGTCACCAAAAAAGCCTTTTATATAAGGTGTTAAATACGGTTCACAAACTGCTAGTTTACAGATATTTTTTGCTGTATAGATTGATTTGTATTTTGTCAATCTCTGCAAAGAACAAAAAGTAACACAATAAGATCATTGAAATGTAATATCAGTAAATTAAATCAAATTACTGAGCAATATAGAGAATTTCAGAATCAAAAAACTCTACACTATATTTTAAAAGCATAATTTCTAAGATTCAAGAAGTCTATATATGTGAGCTACTGCATCTATACTAAAAGACTCCATCTAGTGCCTCCAGAAATTGACTGTATTGCACATTGTTATTTACAAAATCAATTAGTTAGTGTGTTTTCTGAATGACTAGTCGCTTTAAGGGAGCCCTGTGTAATTAAACCAATTTCAGAGAGAATTTTTTGCGTTAAAAACAGCTGGACAGAATGCAGCGGAGTGAAAAACAGCACAGACGAGACGTGTTTCTCTATTTAACTTGACATGGTGTGATTTAACACAGCATGAGACTTGACGCATGTGACACAGCATCTGTCTGAATCTACATAGCTGTTTCGGTGAGGGTTATATACCATGCAAAGTGTCTAACAGCCAAATAGAAAAATGTCAAAATAAGGAAATAAATCTACTAGTCAAACCATAGTGAGATATTACTCAAGCACAAGTGTTTTATTTTTGACTTTTTTCACCCATTTAGCTGCGCTTTCCTCAAGGTCGTATGGGTTACACTGCAAAAAATACCTTTCCTTCTTTTTTTGTTTGTTTTTAGTCCAAATATCTAAAAATTCTTAAAGGTGCTGTGTGTAAGTTTTTGACCCTTCTAAAGCATACAGATACCATAATATAATTGCAGATTTTTAAGAAACATGCTGAGTGAACATTCTTGTTAATCCGAAAAACAATGCTGAAGTCAGATATTCTGCTTTGAAAATGTGAGTTAAGTCTGTATTTATTTTGGTCATTTAACCCGCTCAATGACAGTTTAACCAGATATATTTCAGTACCCAAGGTTGCCTTGGTGGAAAACAGTGTATTTAAATCATTCAGTCAGTGACTGAAATGCGACCTCTGGTGGACAGTAGCAGACTCCAAAATGAGACGCAGATTCAGAGTTCCACATGAGTTTATTAATTAGCAAATAATACTAATATTACAAACGTAAACATTAGGCGAGCAGGTTACATTGTAACCCCGTGTCCTAACAACACGCTATACGTGACGAGATTTGCAGTGATAAGCAATTTGGCTTTTTGTACCAGACGAAACACGACAGAAAATAAAATACAGCCATTCATAAGCACAGACTAGTGCACTCACTGCACTCCAGCGTCAGGGAAAGGTTTATAGTCTAATTAATACATTTTAAACCTCTTTAACATTATTAAATGTAGATGCTGAATCACTGATATGTGTTGGTGACTTGATATCATTCGCTATGGTTTTTAATGATGCGTGACTCGCATTGACAGGTGAAAATCTGATCTATCTGCTTACACTCCAGACATGAAGGCACAGATCCGATTCATATCGGATAAACTTCCACATATGAACAAGGCCTGAATTGGAATTAAGTCACTTGAACCATGCAGTGTAAATGCAGCCTTCTAGACAAGCAAAACATACTGTCTTTAAAAAAAAAAAATAATAGAAATAATATGTCAAAAATTAAGTGCGTTTTTCCCTAAAACAAGCAAAATAACCTGCCAACTTAATAGGCAAAATAATCTTATTTCAAAAGGAAAAACGAGTTTCTTTCTCTTACCCCATTGGCAGATTATTTACCAACTCACTTAATTTTGACATTATTTCTTAAAACTAAACAGTATTTTTATGCTTGTCTAAAAAATGCTTCGGGGTGAAGAAGTGGCGCAGTAGGTAGTGCTGTTTCCTCACAGCAAGAAGGTCGCTGGGTCGCTGGTTTGAACCTCGGCTCAGTTGGTGTTTCTGTGTGGAGTTTGCATGTTCTCCCTGTGTTCGCGTGAGTTTCCTCCGGGCGCTCTGGTTTCCCCCACAGTCCAAAGACATGCGGTACAGGTGAATTGAGTAGGCTAAATTGTCCGTAGTGTGTGTGTGTATGTGTATGTGTGGATGTTTCCCAGAGATGGGTTGCGGCTGGAAGGACATCCACTGCGTAAAAACGTGCTGGATAAGTTGGCGGTTCATTCCACTGTGGCAACCCCGGATTAATAAAGGGACTAAGCCGACAGGAAAATGAATGAATGAATAAAAAATGCTTTGTGAATTAAGAATTTTTAGACATTTAGACTAGAAACAAGACAAAAAAATAAAAATAAAATCAAAGTAAGAAAAGCATTTTTTTGCAGTGTAGATAATAAATGACGCATTCTTTCTTATCCAGTAAAGCAAACACTTGAGTTTAACTGATTTGTCATCTTGGCATGATGCACCTAATATTTTCACCTAAAATATCTGCAGAATACCATGCAAAGTGTCAAAACAGTCAAAATGAAAAATGTCAAATTACTAGTCAACCATAGTGACATTACTCACACATTTTTGACTTTTCCACCCATTCTGCTGGGCTTTCCTCAAGGCCATGAGGGTTACACTGCAGAAAATGTCTTTTTCCCTTGTTTTTAAGTCTTGTTTCTTGTCCAAATATCTAGAAATTCTTATATCAAGAAGCATTTTCTAGACAAGTAAACATATTGTTCATTTTAAATGAATTTTATGTCAAAATTAAGTGAGTTTTCCCTTAAAATAAGCAGAATAATCTTATTTCAAAAGGAAAAGCAAGTTTATTTTGCTTGTTTGAAGTGAAAACTCACTTCATTTTGGCATATTATTCTCTTACAAGACAGTCTTTTTCTGATTGTCTATAGAAAATTCTTCTTGATTTAAGAATTGTTAGATATTTGGACTAAAAACACGACAAAAAAATCAAAGTAAGAATATAATTTTTGCAGTGTAGATAATAAATGAAATAAGCTTTCATATCCAGTAAAGCAAAATGGATTTGTCGTCCTGGGATGATGCCCTATTTTCACCTACAACATGAATATCTTTCAGCCTCAATCGAGAACTACCTGTGCACCTTGTGTGAAATGTGTGAGATTTTTTAACATTTAACACTCAAAAGAGCTACAACTACAAGCAAATGTATAGCCGCAAAGTGTGATTCACAGCTGCCAGAATTGAAAATGAGAGAAATATCACATTCGTCAAGACTACGGCAAGCATTAGAGCTGAAAGGTTGATGATGAAATAGATATGCATGTTTAAAATTTAAAGGTCCCATGAAATTAAAATAAAAAATGTCAGTCTGTTAGTTTTAGGGACATTTATACCCACCCTATCAGAAGCTTGGCCCACCCATGGTCTCACATCAGATAACAACAATCGCATTTTTTGTGATGTGTTTCATAACTGAGAAAGCAGCATATGATGCGACCGTGAGCTTTAAAAACGTCTTTTGGCAAGCCAGGCTCATTTACAATCTTGATTAAAGTATTCCGTTTTAATAATTTTAAACCAATCAAGCTGCATTAGATGAAAGAGAACCTAATTCGCCATGGAGCGCAGATTTCAGCGTGCATCAAGTATCTCAGTGCGCATTACCAAAAGCACCGTTTTATATAATTTCATGCAGTCATAATTGATACAATAGAAAGTCCTAAAGAATGCAAACAGTTCAGAAGCACTGAGCAGGGTAATCAGGAGATGCAACTGGGCCCGCTTAAACATTAAAGCATTTTTCTTAAGGAAAGTTCACTATCTGTAAACGACGCACAGAAATTGACAAATCACAGGCAGTTTCAGCAGTGAAGTTCGTGTAAAGTGAAACATACAAAATTCAAACACCAGTGCAAAGCACTTTGCTGCAGTTTGTGTCAAAAATATCAATATTTCCATACACATCCACACATAATCTTGCTTTCGCTTTGCTCTCTCACACGCTCTCTTCTCTTGACACGCGCTGCTGCATGTCCCTGAGCTGTAT